ATCAGCTTGTTGGCACATCACCCATGGTACACCTGTGTCTAGAGAGGTTGCCATTGATGCCGACCAATTGATGTAAGTCTTTGCTGCAGCACCATAAGAAGAATCGATGTTCCCATACTCATTTTCGATCTGCCATGAAATACAAAGTGAATAAGATATAATGATCGATGAATCTTGTTGCAGAAATCAAACCTATCTTACGGGCAATTGTCAATAATGAGGCTAAATACCTGAGACAAGATGATGGGTCCACCTTGGGATGCATATAGTTTTTCCTGCTTCATCATTTCCACAATCTTTGTTGTAAACCGTTGCATCTCTCTCTGGAGCAGAGACATCAGAGAAACAATTCGAATGAACAACTACTGCAATACTCATTGCTCAAATACGCATCATCGTTATTGAAATTAAAAGACAATTTAACCTTGAAGGGTTCGTTGTCAGTCCTAAACTTGATCCCAGGTATGAAATGCAACCAGAGAGGAAATCCCCTGCATCAAATAGTTAGATAATTAAACGAAATCTCAAAACATGGTTACACAATACTGAACAATGTGGAATGCAGGACTGCTTGATTGTGGAATGCATTCACAGTTACCCATAGTTCCATTCGGCGCAGACGTAAGGGCCGATCCGGAGGTGAACATAGAGGCCGGCCTCTGCCACTGTCTTCACGAACCTCACCAAATCCTTCCTTCCTTCAAAATCATACTGTCGAAGATATATGCCAAAATAACAATCTTTAGAGAGGGCAAACACGATGAACGTTCTGTAGTAATCCAACACGAGAAGGATCAAGGGCTCTCAGTAGCAATGACCTGGCCCTGGACGGGCTCGTGGAGGTTCCAGAAGACGTAGGTCTCAACGACGTCAAGACCACCGTTCTTGGACTTCTCGATGAGGTCCGGCCACATCTGAAGTACAGCCACAGAAGGTTGCAAGTTCTTGGCATCAATCAAAGCATAAATGGAGGAGAAGGTAAGCGTCAGAGAGAGAGAGAGAGAAAGAGAGGAGGGGGACCTCGGGAGTGCTGCGGGGATAGTGGATGGAGCCGGAGATGAGGACCCTTCGGGTGCCATCTATCACCAGCGCCCTGTGGTCGTACGTCACCGTGGCCGCGGCACAGAGGTGAGAGCAGCCACAGAGAAAGCATAAGAAGATCACAAGAAACGGAGAGAGCTTCGGGTAAGCTGCATCCGTCGCAGCAGCGGCTGTTCCGGCTACCATCCTCCTCCTCCCCACGGTAATGGCGTGAAAGGAAGCGAGCAAACCGAGTTGCGAGGGGAAGACAAGAATGAATGATGAGCCTCCTGCAATGAGATGAATGGAGACAGATTGCTTGTTCGCAACTCGCTGATACGTCCAAAATTGGGTCACATGAGAAGGGAAGCAACGCAATAATAAGGTGCGGATGTCAGCTCTTTCCTTCCCATCATCTGCTTCAATGCTGATGTTTCTCTCTCCGCTACTACCAATGTGAATGCTACAGCTCGTCTACGCCACCTCTCCTTCTCACCCAGTGGACCATCTCTCCTTCTCTCTCTCTGCTACTTCACTTATAGTTATAATGGCTGGCTGTTCCGACTGTCTCCATGACCTGTTTGCTCTCTGCACTCTAATTTTTAACTTCAATTGTGTTACTCGATCATTATTGCGTGCACTTCAATTCTCATTTTTGCTACGACAAGTTCAGATCGGAACCCTTTCAAGGATGGGGGTAGATTTGTTCTTCTCCGCTAGACTACGCTTTGTAGCAGTCCTGGAGTGGTGCGTCGGCTGTAGCACGTCGAGGTGGGCCCGCCGTGTAGTGAAACCCACCCACGCGTATCCACGGTCGCAGTCACTGGCCGGGTGGCAGCGTCGGTGATGACTAAGGGTGGGGTCACTGTGAAGTTACATATTTACCCTCGTTCATGGCCAAGGTATCGAATTCATTTTACGGTAAATTTAAATCACCGACCAATCGAAGCCATGATATCTCCACGCTGCACGGACGTCAATGCCCTCAACCCAATCCAACCTCTTTGGTGGGGGCAAGTGCCCGTAACCAGCTCCGGGACGTTTGTTGTCGGCCTTCTCCTCGTCTTCCCCCCCCTCCGCCTGCCCGTTCACCGTTTGATGAAACGACAGCGAGAGATTCCAAGACGAAAGAGATGGGCTCCCCACGCCGTGCTGTGCGTCGAGACGCGTCCACTGCAAAGATAAAAAGAAAGAGAAATGCGTTGCTTCGTGTCACGCTCTGCTTTCGTGCTCGTCAACACATACATAATAGTTCTTGGTGCAACGGTTGCCGCCCGTATCCTTTCCATCCGGAATCGAAGGCCACAAGAAGATTTGGTGCAAGAAAAAGGTCACGAGAAGCGATCTCTTCGTCTCCCCACATGTTTGACCAAGATGCCATCTCCCTCTCGTGTGGGAGTTGTTCGGGTGCAATAAATAAAAACCCTAAAAATAGATGGATAACAATTTGTAGTTCGTCCATTCTTGGTCTAATTTTTCTCTCCATGAACAGAGTTCTCTGTGGGCAAACAAACAGTCAATGCCCGTTTGAGACTCGATCGTCCCTTCCCGTATCTTTTTCAACGTGTACAACGATAACACGGACACTCCATTACTGGTTGGATAAAGTGATCTTGTGGATAGAATGGACTAATTAAATGATCATGGCGTAGCGTCTAAAGCTAGTGCTAAGGTTCTCAGACGTTCCATTCGAAGCCAAATACACCGATAGTTGCGAAACGCTAAGAAACAGGACAAGCGGTGTTTACGTCAACAACTTTGCCGTGTCTATATCTCATCCAAGTTCTTTAGATAACCACACCACGTAGAAAAGTCGTCCTTATTGTTGAGGTTAGGAACCAAACAAGATTCTCCCTCCTCTTTCCATGTCGGAAATTGCAGGCCACCTTTCGGTAGTTTGTTCTCGATCTTTTGACATTTAGATTTACAAGGAAAAAGGAAAAGAATATTGCCAAATGATCCATTCGCACTGATTCAAGAACCAAAGAAAATTAAAATAAAAAAAAAGTGAAAAAGATTGTATATTAATTACTTGGAAGCTTAGCCCACAAAAATATATCACATCACACCATATCATTAGGACCTTAATGATTAGTAATATGTTTATATTTAAGCTATGCTTTTGGCTCCAACAGATTAAGGACTCATAAGCATTCAGTTCAACCACTTCTTTGTGGCATGGAGTCCCCATGACAACTTTTATGAGTTGGATGGGGATTGGAGTGGCTACTCCTGAAGCTAATAACTCGAACACAGGGCATTCTCAAGCAGTGCAGCATCACCAACCAAATCCACCACTCAACACCTAAAGGCGTTTGACACTGTTCCTAACATGGACATCAAGATATTAATTAAAATTCTTTGGTTGGTCACCAAATTATATGCAGATAAGACTCTTCAGTGGCTGCCCAACCCATCCCCCCACTCAACAAAGTAGTCAAGAGTAGTTTTTATGACTTGTTATTAGTTTCTGGTTCAAGTGCAATGTGAGCATTTCATATCAGTAAATGCCCTAGCTTGACCTAGTTTGGGAAATTTTATACATGAACAAGCTACAATGTTTTCCTTATTATTATTATTATTAAGCATATGTAATTTGTTAGGGAAGCTGTGAATGATCTTTATCAGCTTATATACTTATGGTTATATAATTACTTTCATAAAATGGATTATTTTCACATCTACTATCTCATCACTGTTTATAACATAGGTAGAACAAACAAAGAAGACTTATATTTAAAAAAAAATCAAATTTAATTTAAGAAATAAAAAAGATTTTCTAGAATCATGTATATCTTTACATCAAGAGATGAGAATGTCACTCGCTGATTTTGTTTGCTTAATGTCTATGGAGAATAACTAATAAAAAATAGAACAGAGTCAAAGTGTACTAATAAATATAATTGCTAGTATGACCAGTTAAACATGGATTAGGTTTATGTAAAAAATTAGAATATCATAGTTCAAAAAAGTTGATATTAAAAGTGATCTATCCAAACTACTTGAATCAGAGTAAGATATCCTCCGTTAATCATGTTAAAAATTTATTACAAGTAGAATCTGAGACCAATTTCTTGGTGTTCTTAATAAAACAGGCCCAAACCTCCTTGGCATTCGAGGAAGATCGCCCCAATTATTCCACCAATATCAGGAAGAGAGTCAATTTATAGAGGTGGCATAGCTCCGTCCTTAAAGACTTTATGGTCCTGTGAGGCTCTCACAAACCTAACCATCTAAGGTCAGATGTTTATAATAGATTTGTTTTTGTTGATATTAGATCCTAGGACCCTACCATAATTGTTTAATGTTAAAATGATTCATCACAATATGCTTTCTGATGGTTTATTTGTCTTGTTGCTTCATCACAATATGATATGCATGAGAACTTCCCTTTCAGGTATAGTTTAATCCAAAAAAATCCCAAGTTCATGTCTGCTCTTCAATGGGTGGCTTGGTTTCTGATGGATTTTGTGGAACACTCAAAGTTTAATAGCAAATGAACTCCATGGAAGAAAAGCAGCAATAGCAAGTAACACACTAATTGTTAAGTATCTTCTCCAAAGTCAATACTGATTTGACCATGAATTAATGCACTTTGAAAACAAGCAAAAATCCTGCAGATAATGCAAGCTTATACCTAAGTTACTGATGAATTAAAAGAAAAAAGATGAAATGTAACAATAAAGATTAGGACCCCATCAGCTCTGAAATCACAAGCCATGCCTTGATATCATAATATGCAAGCATAGTACTGGCACAAGAGAAAATGTTAGTATCTGAATCCACCACTAAACATAATAAGATGATGAAACTTGACATGCCATGAGACTTATGATAACTGATCCACAGTGAGCCAGCTTTAATCAGGAATCCTGGTTATCTTGAAGAGCAGAATTAGATAATTCTGAAGTAGTAGCATTTATGATGTAGACAAAATACAAGCTTCATTAGACTGTAACAAGAAAATGTAGATGTTTCAATAGCTTCTGATATACTTGAACTACCTTCAGATCGATGAAATGCAGGATGGTAAAGTAACCGAGAAAACCTATATATCGTTCTATATTGGCATAACTGATCAAAGAGATATTACAGATCAACTACGATGCACTCTCATTCTCTTCAAAAAGCTCAGAAGTTTGGCCCTGCAGCAAGAATTTCCTCAGTCAGTTTTCCATCTTGACCGATCTTGTAGTTGGCAAACACCTCAAAGTTCTTCTTGAATAGGCTACCCAGCTTTAGCAAAGTCTCCTTATAGCCTTCCTTGTCTTCCCACTGCAAAAGGAAAAAAATCATGCAAGTCAGGCGCAAACATCGGATGGTCAACAGATCATTATTTTAGTTTCATGAGCCATGACTCACCGTGTTAATTGGGTCTAAAATCCCCGAAGGAACACCTTCGATCTCAGTGGGTATCTCCAAACCAAACACTTGAGTCCTTTTGTAGTTTGCCTTGAGGAGGCTGCCAGAGTGTATGGCATCGATGATTTTCCTTGTGTATCCCAGCTTGATGCGGTTGCCAACACCATATCTGAACAAAGAACAAGTGTACACATCAACAAGAACAAGCTTTTTATTCTTCATAATTTTTTAGAACTCAAATTCATGTGCCATGTGATCTTTTACCTTCCACCTGACCAACCAGTGTTCACAAGCCACCCTGTGGCACCATGTTTCTGCATTTTCTCGGCCAGCATAGCTGCATACTTAGTAGGGTGAAGCATAATGAAGGCTGCCCCAAAGCAAGCTGAGAATGTCGCCTGAGGTTCCTTGATGCCGTCCTCTGTACCAGCCACCTGACATTGTACACCACCGGAATTTTAATTAGTAGTGTGCACATTATCAAATGAGAAACAAGAAACAATGACAAAATATGCACCAGAGCAGTGTAGCCACTGATGAAATGGTACATGGTCTGAGGCAGGCTGAGCTTGCTAACAGGTGGAAGCACGCCAAAAGCATCACATGCCAAGAGGATGACATTTTTCGGCTGTGGACCAACGCATGGTATCTTCGCATTAGGTATGTACTCAATTGGATAGGAAGCTCGGGTGTTCTCTGCAGCACCACCAAACAGCATTCCAATTTGTATGAAACTTGTACCAAATTATGCAAGAAACCTGCTTCAAGAATTGTACCTGTGACAGACTTATCAGTGTAGTCTACCTCCTGAGTGTGCTCATCGAATACCACATTTTCCAGCACTGCAAGCAGGTCCCAACCATTAGCACAATGATCACAAGAATTTACATGCCGTCTGAATTAAAAGGTAAGGTCCAAGGTATCCGAATGTTTACCGGTTCCAAATTTAATGGCATTCCAGATGTCAGGTTCCTTCTCCTTTGAGAGGTCGATACATTTTGCATAACAACCACCTTCAATGTTTGAGATACCATTTTCGCTCCAGCAGTGCTCGTCATCGCCGATAAGCAGCCTATTATGATCCGTAGATAGAGTGGTCTTCCCAGTGCCTAAAAGACAGTAAGGGGTTAGTCATTATGAGCCATGGTAATAAGAATTCAGGAGGTAGTAATATTCCATTGTACGGGAGGGTAGGTGCCTAAAGGCAGGATGTGGATGCAATGGGCAGGTGATGGCACCACATTCAACGAGCCCAACCTTACCTGATAGTCCAAAGAAGAGGGCAACATCACCATCTTTGCCCATATTGCAGCCAGAATGCAGGGAAAGGATTTGTCTTTTAGGCATGAGATAGTGCATCACACTGAATAAACCCTTCTTCATCTCCCCGGCATACTGCGTGCCGAGGATTACCATTTCCCTCCTAGCAAGGTTAAGGTCAATGCTGGTCGAGGATGTCATGTAGTGTGTGTAACGATTACATGGAAACTGTCCAGCATTGTAAATTGTGAAGTCCGGAGTACCAAAATTCTCCAGTTCTTCAGGCGTGGGACGGATGCACCTGCCATCCATCCAGTTATCGCATGTACAAGAGCTATACTACTTATTTACCGACTTTTCATGTTCTCCTATGACCTAGAGAAGCAACAGGAGCTGTGTCGTCCACTTGTACTATTGCTATTAATAATAATATATCAATAGGCAACTTTAAGAGGATGACTTATCTGGGTGACCGTAGCAGGCCCACGAGAATTAGAGCACTGCAGAAAAGAACTGCATCCTAATGTTATTGTTAGTATCTTTTACTTACATGTTGTGCATGAATAGGGAATGGTAGGCCCTTGCAGAGACGATTCTAACTTTAATCCGATGTTCAGGATCCCAGTTCAGAAATTGATCATTCACAAAAACCTGCATTTAGAAAATACAAAGATAAATCACTGCAAATCAAAGAATAGATATGTGCTTTTGCGATGAGATATAAATTGACCCTTGCACCGTCTGGACACATTATATGGGCAAAATAGCTGGGAGGAAGTTTACTTCATAGGGTTACTGTCTCACTTGAGAGGAGGAAATTTTAGGAGTTACCAAGGAAGGATCAATGCTTCTGAAGAAAACCATAAATATTTGTGTTTATATTCTAAAAATCTTCACCTGTATCATAATACCAAGCAAAACCCTATGTATCTAAGCTAATCTAGCAGTTCGAGAGAAGATACTATACCAAGGGAGATTCATGATTTTTAATTTACTGCAGACATGCATAGTTTGTGATTAATTACAAACATAAGCTTTGTAATAAAGCAAACCTCCTTAGAAAGAAAATTACCTAACCTTTGTTGAAAAGAACTGATAAGCAAACTCTTCCAAAAAATTACAATTATATAAAAGGCATGGTCTGCAGTACCGAACTGTACCGTCCGGTACGGGCGGTATGTACCAGTCCGACAGGTTGCCGGTACACGGACCGTCTGTTACCGGTCCGAGTGCACTGTAGCACTGTAGCAGTGCTGCAGTACTCGGCACACCTGAGTATACCGCTCAGTACACCTGGGTGTACCGCTCGGTATACCGTACTGTACCGGTACCGAGCCCAGATCGAAATACCGGTACGGTACGGTATTGCGAACCTTAATAAAATGTGAAATGGATTAGATTATCGAGTTCTCAAAATAAGAATTTTATAGGCACACAAATGCTTAAATGGAAGAAATTAATTGAGGAAACGAAAGGAAGCGGTGAGGCAAAGGCACATTGGTAGAAAAAAAAAATAGGCATCATCATACTTTACTTAAAATCACTTGACTTTTTGTCAAAAGGATTTTCAATTAGATCAAAACCAAAGTGCTCATTAACAACAGAGTAAACTTCCTTGTGGTGTACAATAATAATTTGTTGTGTTCTTTTCTTTGTTTTAATCCAACAAATGAGCAATCTAAAAATGACAAATAGTTGTATTGCATTGTCATAAGATAAGAGGTACCTTGTCCAGAGAGTTGAGGTAATCAACAGCCCTCTCTCTGTTCACCAGGAAAGTATGCTCATCCATCTCAATATTCGGTGAGCCCCTGAGATCATAATAAATCGAGAAGATATTACAAAAGAGAATAATTACATGTATGAAAATTACAGCACCCAATGTGCAAGTGAGGAGACTTACTTCCCCCACCAAAGCTCCTCAGCTGTAGTTTCATCCTTGACGACCCGTTTGTCCCTCGGGGAGCGACCTGTCTTTGCACCAGACAAGGTAGCCAGTGCCCCTGTCGATGTTATGAACGAACCCTTCTCATATTTTATAGCTTGCTCATACAGTTCTGCATGAATATAACAGTTACTGATAGAACCATTGGAAGAGCAGCAGCAAGCAAATTGCAATAAACAAGGCTGGCACCAGATGATCATCCTCTGATGGCCACAGGGTCTCTGGAGTGGAATTCAATGTTTCCTACTACCCCTTAAGGTGTTCAATATCATGGAGATAAGTAAAACCAAAATTATGGGCAATGACAAGATCAAATCTCAGGAACCATATATAGTTAAACAAACAAGTCAACTAATTCATCATGATCAATGTTCATTGCAACACTCCTTTTAGTCTCCCTTGGTACAATCAACATGGAGGAGGCAACTGGGAACAATTTAGACTTTTGACTTTGGAAACTTGTTGCTTGTAGAGATCAAAATCAAGCAAAAGGTCAAGTCCTCTCTCTATATATAAATCTACCAATCCATTTTTCTTAGACCAAACTATAATACTACAAAAAAAGGGCACAAGGGCAACCAAGTATATGGAGAACTTCACAAAAGAGATCTACCATGTTCAAAGGAGGGAACGATATGACCTCAGTAATTAAAAGACATGTCATAATTAAATCAGTTTATCACTAATTATTATGAGTATGAGCACAATACCAGCTGGGGAAAGATTGTAGAGGACATGGGTGAACTTGAGTGCACTGTCGCTGATGCTGATGGTTGGGGTGATGTAGTGGTGGTGCTCGGCAGTGACCTTGGGCGTATCCAGCTTCCTGGCTGGATCACCCTTCACCACCTTTGGTCCTGTCTCCCGTGTCAGCGATGCCAATGATGCACTGCCCACATCACCAATTAATTAATTTAGCATACTTGATACAAGTTCCTACGATGATACATCAATAATAAATTAAGAATACTTAAGCATGCAAGTACGAATGCAAATGCATTTAATTTGGATTGATCGGTGATTTAACATACTCGAGAAATTATGCACCAGTAATGATACAACAAGATCTGTCCATAAGAGGGAATCAATGAATGGTAGAATCCTATAGCATATAATTTATCTTTCAGTTCAAATAAATGATTTTGGCATTTGAATGCAAAATCAAGCTAACAACCAATCTGATTAAGCCTCAGATCACTAAATCACAAGTTACACCAAAGGATGAATCTTGACCGAATCACATATTTAATATAAGATATTTTAAAATATATTATATAATATATTTAAAAATAACAACAAAGGATTCGATTCCAAGGTTTTAAATATAAAAATTACCCTCTGATGATAACAAATTTAATATATTATATTTAAAATAATAATAAATAATCTGATTTCATGGTTTTAACTAGAAATATTGTCTATTCCAAAACTTAATGATGGAAAAAAAATTCCATTATAGTTTGGATATTATAGGTTCTGATTGTCGTTGCTGCTGCTTAATTCAAGGTTAACGTCTTTCTATTGTCAATAATCCAAGAGAAAAGAATATACTCAGGCTGTAAGAAAATAATCATTATTGGGGCATTCCATAAGACAACCAAGTTTGGTTGGACCAACTAAAATTTCCGATTCATAAAAAAATAATAAAATTTGATTCAACTAGCAATTCAATTAAATCGCTATCGTCAATAGTCCAAGACAAAAATATATACTCAGGCTGTAAGAAAATAATTATTATTGGGGCATTCCACATGACAATCAAGTTTGGTTGGACTAACTAAATTTTCCAATTC